AGGTATAGATGTACAACAACAACAAAAACAGTAACTGCTGAGACTACTTATGTACAACCAAACAGAAAGGTTCAGTTCGGGGACTTAGGGTCTTGGTTTTGTGGTTTTGGCTATGTGGTCTGGAGCAGCTGCTGACCATAGTTTTGCAACTTGACTCTAGTCACAAAACCCCAAACCAAACCTGCTGTTGATGAGTTGATTCCAACTCTTGAAAACCTGATGCATTACAGAGTAGAAGTGCCCCACAGGATTTTCTCAGCTGTAATCTTTATGAAAGCAGATCATCAGGCTACAGCACCACTGAGTGGGTTTGAACTGCTAACCTTTAGGTTAGTAGCCAAATAATTCTCCATTTGTTAATTGGCCTAACAATGTGTTTAGGGAACTCTGGTAGCGTAGTGGTTACAAATCGGGCTGTGAACGGGCAAGGTCAGCAGTTCGAAACTACCAGCTGTACTATGGAAAAAGATGAGGCTTTCTGCTCCCGTAAAGATTTACAGCCTCGGAAACCCTGCATAGGGTCGCTATGAGTCGGAACCGACTCCACGGCACATAACAAGAACAACAACAACAATGTGTTTAGTGCTTCTTTTTTACCTCCTAGTTCAGTAAAAGTCCTGGGGTCTTAAAAGCTTGCAAGCAGCCACCCAAGGCACAATAATTAGTCTCTATTCACCTAGGACTCCTGATGTGGTGCTGTGGGCTAATGCGCCAGACTGCAAAGCCATTTAAGCTGCAAGGTCGGCAGTTCAAGCTCACCAGCTGCTCCTTGGGAAACTCTATACAGGGTCGCTATGGGTTGGAATCGACTCAATGGCACTTAACAACAACAGCATTCGCCTAGAACAACAAAGAAAGAAGGAGAGTCAAGAACAGGAAGAGGATATAGAATGTGTGACTACTTATCTCCATGAACAACTGCTGCTTTGGCTGTAAACATTTTGACCAAAAGGTCCATCGAAGAATCCTGATCAACAGGGGGGAAATACAGCACAGAGTTTCAAATTCTCATGGTCTCTAGACTTTCTGGAACCATGGAGGATAGATGAACCCCTGAAACGATTGCCATGAGATAATCTTTAAACCTTAAACCCAAAGTATCCCTTGAAGTCTTATTAAAACTGAGCAATAGTTTAGCTTAACTAGTAAAAAAAAATCTTCATTGAGCATATGGTCTTTCAAGAACTGTGTTGTTGTTGTTAAGCGCCGTCGAGTCGATTTTGACTCTTAGTGACCCTGTATAGGTCATGTCTTTTTTTGTCATGTCTTTCCAAGGAGTGGCTAGTGAGTTTGAACAGCTGACCTAGGGATTCATACTGACCTTGCAGTTGAGTGCTTATCCTACAGACCACACAGAACTCCAAGAACTATGTATATGGAATCAAATTGACAAGAGTAAATGGAAGATTAACTTATGTTAATAAGGGGGGACAACTCAGAAAGGAGGATGAAGATGGCTGAACAACTCAAAGAATGTAATCATTGTCACTAAATTATACATGAAGAAACTGTTAAACTGATGTATGTTTTACTGTATGTATTCTCAGCAAGAACAGAAAAATAAATAAAAGTTATATGTAACATACATTTTTTTTCCATTTACACATGTAAGGAGAATTTCTGTATTCTTGTAAAAAAAAAAAAAAAAAAAAAAGCACAGTAAAAATAAGTAAAACTGGAGAACAAACAAGATGCCGGAGAGGGTGTAAGTACAGTGAAGAGCTCTGTCAGCAACAAAACAAAATACCAGACCAAGCAGGCTCAGGGGATGTTCCCAGAACTCTGAACCAAATATCAAGGAATATTTAGAAGGTTGGAAGGCTTACAGCTAGGGGAATTTGTAGCAGAAGCAAGAAATCCATTGCTTTCTAATTCAAGATGTTCAGCTACTCCCAGAGTCACCATCTTGGGTGAGACCAAGCCGGGAAAGGGTCAGAGCAGCCATGGATGCCTGACAGAACCACGGATATAAAGATCTGGAAATTCTTTTTTTGTTTTTGGTATCAGGTCATTGGTCTCTTGCTGTCAGCACACCTCCATTCAGGTGTCTAGAGGGGGTACCTGAGTGAGTAGACAACCTACCCCCACCCCCCAGAGGGTTCTACTACACATGCACACAGATCTCCTTGAAATTTAAAGTGACAGTTTCCACTTAAAACCAAATGGCAGCACAAAATGGCCACAGCCGGCCCTGAAGTGTTTATTGTTAGGAAAAAGGCCTAAACGGGGATTGTGGAGTGGGAGACAGGCAGACTATAAAGGAAATGGGCTGAAAATTAAATCCTGAGATATGTCACAACGACATATATATGTATAGAGAGAGCTCTGGTAGCGTAGTGGTTACAAATTGGGTTGCGAATTGCAAGGTTAGCAGTTCGAAACTACCAGCGGCTCTGTGGGAGAAAGATGAGGCTTTCTGCTCCTGTAAAGATTTACAACCTCGGAAACCCTGTTCAGGGTCGCTATGGGTCGGAACCGACTTGATGGCACTTACTCAACCCAATATATATATATATATATAACATTTCTATCCTTGTAATGCACTGTATTGAAAATGTGTCAGATTCTTATATTTCTTAATAATGGATGGAACATACTGCCTGTATTTTTCTTATTCACTAGATATATTTGAAATTTATGTGTCTCCTCAATTAATTCTAAGAGCAAGCAAAATTAAAATTATTGGACTAAATTTTATTCCAAATAAATAATGAAATAAACTATATATTTTTGTTATTCTTATACACACACACACACACACACACACAAATTAGGGGGAAAATTGTGCAATGATAAAGCAGCTACCAATGGTGATCCATTCTATCAGTGGACCAAGAATGGACACTGCAAAAAGGGAACCCGTGATTGATGTACTTTCCTGTGGATTGTTTTGTTTTCCTATGTACCAAGTTCTGACTTCCTTTTGCAGAACAGGAGATCAGTGCCTGGTGATAGCATTTCTGATTATATACAGAGGGCCCAGGAAGCTCTCTGTGTCTGCTATTTGTCTCTGCCAAGACCAACAACATATCTCCCTGCCCCATTTTTCTAGTCACACACCTCAGGCACATTAGAATGAAGAGCCTTCTTTATTTTCCCATTTAAAAATGTTTTATCACCCTATGAAACATAATGTATTCATTGATTCACAAACAACCCTTGAAAACCTGTTCTGTAGTTGTTCACTGGGGACCCATCAAAGCAAGCCATCAAGTCCCCTCAGGTCAAACCCTCTTCCAAGACTGAAACTCAAAAGGAATACATGAGCAGGTATGTAATCTTGCTGGTGACCATGTTGGTCTACCGATACAGGGAAGTGGGGGGAAAACAACAATGAAGCTGTAAACTAAGTCTGACCACATTCAATATACTCCTGTCTACCTTGATCACGACCTGGTGGCCAGAAATATAGCAAGACCTGGGCCCATGGACAGGGATATAGTCACAGAGGACTAGAGTGGAGAGTAAAGCATCCAGCTGATGTGAAGTGAGGGGAGATGAACAAGAATGCCCATACTTGCAGATAGTACCCATTTGACCTAGCTTCAATGGTTGGATGAACTCGACTAGAGGAAGGAAGAATAGGAAAAAGACTGTAATCTGCTACAATTTGATGAACTTGACCTATACTTATGGATGTAGTAGCTTAAAAGAGGAAACAAATCTTTACAACAAGTATCATTCTCACCCCCTCAGTACACAGGGTTGACAGGGATGGGCAACTTAGACATTGGCTAAATGGTGGTGTGGGGGGGGTGTCAACAAAGGCAGGAAGTGACTGGCTTACAAGTTTTCAAGAGGGAGCATAGTTTCAGAGGGTGCAGGGAAAGGTAGAATCTGCACGGAATGGTTTCCAATGTGTCTAGATGGGACTGGTGAAAGGAGATGGGGATAAGACTCTTGTGGTTCAATAGTGAATAATTGCTATCAGGACTGATTGTAAATGTTGCAAATGTAGAGGTAGACATTTTGTAACAAAAGGAAGGGAGTGGTTGATCTTGCAGCCCAGGAGCGCAGGACCCTGGGACCATCAAGAAAGAAGAGCTGAGTACTGGACCCTATCCAGAGAAACAGCAACGCCAGAAATGGAGGCAGAGATGTTGATGTGAAGAGACAGAGTGGCTGGGGACTCTAGACTCAAGGAGGGTGAGGGGCTGTGTACTGGTGGCCAGGGGGCTGGCATGCAGGGTATACCCTTTGGTTGTTTGAATTGTTATATATTCCTGAGTGCTTCAGTGTACATCAAAAAAAAAAAAAAAGAAAAGAAAAGAAAAACCCACAGTGGGATTGAAGCAAAGGCTGTTAAACGATGATGCATGGAGGGGATTGAAATCATTGCAATGAAATGAAGAACGATAGAATGAATGTAAAGCTAATGTTTTCCCATGTAAACTATCACTCAATTCACAATAAAAATTTATATATAAAAAAATAACAATCTGTTCTGTATAAGGGTCTGTGCTGGGGGTACAGCACATTTTGAATAAACAGAGTACAGGGCTTGGGGTCATGTTTCCTATAGTCCATTGAAGTTGAAGGATTTGAGACAATTAAATGGCATAAGAATGATGATAAATGTTCTGAAGGAGACATATAGGGAAAACTGAGAACATTAACAAGGGCACAGAACCGGTCTTGTGAGGTCATGGGCGACTTCCTTAGGAAGGGACATTGGATGTGAACTTTGTAATAGGAGTTTGTGTTCATTAAACATATCCACCCTTTTTATTCTCCTGTCCTTTCCCGTCTTCTCATATGTCTCTTTGCCTTCATCAATATCCTGGATTATAATCGGTTCATTTGTAAGCTATTAACAAATAATTTATTACTTCACCTCTATATAAGCTACTCTAACAATGCACAATAATATCATTTTCAGTCCCCTTCAAATCAAGAAATTAAACTAACAGGCAAAGAGCTTTGTTTTCATTGGACCAAAATGAGAGGAAGCTGATCTTTCACAACTCAAATTTAGCACCTTGCTTTTTCTGTGTTTTCAGCAACTCAAGCACCCCAACCTTGTCAACCTCCTTGAGGTGTTCAGGAGGAAACGGAAACTTCACTTGGTGTTTGAGTATTGTGACCACACAGTTCTCCATGAGTTGGACAGATACCAAAGAGGGTAAGTGATTAGTCTCTTATTTTCTGCAGGAGAGAAGTTAAAGCCAGCAAAACAAAACAAGAATCAGATTTTGTGAGGAGATATTAGCAATGACCCTTTTTAACGTTAGGCAAGAACTGTCAGTGTTTTTATACATCTCTGCTGCTGGACTTGAGGACAGCAGAGCAATTTACCAAGCATGTTGGGGATGATTTCATAGATAATTATTTTCAGTTAGAAACCATCAGCAGCATTATTAGGTTGAACGTGATTAGTTAACTCTATATAGAATTTCTCTAAGACTCTAAGAAAGAAAAGGAGAGCTGTTAGTTACTACTTGCCTGACTAGGGAACATTGTTGTTGTTGCTAAATTGTTAAGTGCCGTCAAGTCAGTTTCAACTCTTAGCAACACTGTATAAGGTTTCTGCAGAGCAGCTGATGGCTTTGAACAAGTAACCTTGTGGCTAGCAGTCTAGTGCTTATCCTACAGTGCCACACCAGTACTCTAATAACTAGAGAACAGAAGGACTTGAAAAATAAAGGAAAAATGGCTAAAAAGAACTTTAAGTTCATCTAAAGTCTCCAGTCTGATACATTAGTCAGGACTTTGGTTACAAATGACAAAAACCTAACTGATGCAAATAAAGAAAAAGAATATGTTGGTGGTGGTGAATGAAAAGGTGGGAGTGGCTCCTGGGGCTTTGATTTTATCACACGTCTCTTCTACCATATTCAACATCTTTTGTGAGTGAAAAGAACACTTGATGAGCTGACAGGACCTGTGTCTAAAGAAAAAGGGTTCTCTCCCTCTAGCTGAGGGCTGTCCTGCATTGAGTGAATAGAAGCAGACTGAATTTCAGCTCCCACCCACTCTTCATCTGGTTACCTTTGGTGATGGCTGCTCTCTCTCAACTCTTCTATGTGATGTCTTTATTCTGTGTTGCACATGAGCTTCCCCATATAATGGGGTTTGGAGGGATAGAGAAGGTGGTTGTTGTTAAGTGCTGTTGAGATGGTTCTGACTCATAGCGACCCTCTGTGGGGTTTCTGAAGAGCAGCTGGTGAGATTGAACCATTGACCTTGCAGTTCAAACAGACCTTGCAGTCCACAGTACCAAACCAGGACTCCCATAGAGAAGTTGTTGTTGTTGTTAGGTGCTGTCCAGTCAGTACCGACTTACAGCGACCATATGCACAACAGAACAAAACACTTAGAAAGGGGAAAATGTGATGTAGAACACGTGGCCACTGACAACTCTGTTGTTGCTATTGTTAAGTGCCGTCGAGTCAGTTCTAACTCATAGAGACCTTAAATCTTTTTAGCTGTTCCGTTGTTGTTAAGTGCTGTTCTGACTCATAGCAACCCTATATATGGTTTCTAAGGAGTGACTGGTGGTTTTGAACTGCCGACCTTGTGGTTAGCAGTCAAGTGCTTATCCTACAGTGCCACAACAGGATTCCTATGTAGCAGTTCTAGGAGAAAGCAAATTCAAGAATTTACAGCTGAGGTCTCTCCCTAGGACCAATCCTTAGTGTCAGCAGGAGAGGGTAAAATATTAGTAAGTCTCAGCTTTGCTCATCTCTGTGGCACAAATGGGGAAGTGCTTGGCTGCTAACCTAGAGGTTAGCAGTTCAAACCCACCTAGTGGTGCTATGGGAGAAAAGCCTGAAGGTCTGCTTTCATAAAGATTGTTGTTATTGCTACTGCTAAGTGCTGTTGAGTCAGTTCCGACCCATAGTGACCCGGTACAGGTTTCCAAGGGGTGGCTGGTGAGTTTGAACCACTGGCCTTTCAGTTAAGTGCCGTATCCTTCAGCGCCACAAAATGGAGCAGTTCTACTCTGTAACACATGAGGCTTCATGAGTCAACAGCAGCGGGTTTGGTTTGGGGATTTTGTGACTAGAGTCCAGCTACAGAACTATGACCAACTGACCAACCGTAGCTGCTTCAGACCACACAGACTGAGAAGGAATGAATCCTAAAGGAAAAGGAATGGGGATGCTATTACAAGAAGAAAGGGAAGAAGGGATCCAGGAAGTCCATGGTGTCAGTCTAACTCATAGTCACTCATACCAAGTGGAATACAGCTTTTTTAGTCTCAAGCCCTTTCCTCTTTTTTTTAAACTTGTGTTTTATATCCTTATATTAAAGGTACAGGACAGTGTATACAACCTCCATCATAGCATTAAGCAAGTTATATTGAACATAATCTCTTTAGAATCTCACTTTCCCTTTAGGCTATAAATGAGGACAATGGTCATGAATAACTCATCTATGTAGTCAGTAAATGTTCACTGAGTTCTTAAAGCACTTTCTCAGTAGCTACTGAGTTCAGAGAAGCATCTTCTTCAGGAAGCTGGAGAGACCCCTCCTGAGTCCGTCTTAGTTCCTGTAGTAAGGTCTCAGCTAAGGATCTATCCAGGACACTTCTGATTTAGAGCTCTGACTTCAAATCAATGGTGTTCTAATTATAGCTGTGTTTTTCTCAAAAGGCAAGAACATACCTTATAATCATGGCAAATTTTTTTACTACAAATACTGACAGATAAAAAATAAAAGTCTGTGGTTTACCTATTTTGTGCTTTATATATATTTGTTTAAGAACATTATAAGACTTATACCAGTTTCTCATACAACTGTACAGGATACATTAAATCACATTTTACCCTTAGCCATAATTTTGAATAATGTATCCTTCTTTAGAACATCTGAGTGGCTAGAGTTTGGGCTTCTGAATTGAATGACTGACTGAATGGTGGCTCATTTTTTTTTCCCCTCTAGTAAACATATTATTATACAGAGGGCATGCTAATGACAGAGGAATTAGCAGGGTGGCAGGCTGGTGCCCAACTGATGGACATTTCTACTGTTGGACATTTACCAGCACAAATATTATATATTAGACATGGTTTTGACTCCTGCCTATTAAAAAAAAAAAATGACTTACCATGACAACATATATACATGATGGGTTCTTTTTAACCTCAGGAATTGAAGAACTAAAGTTGAGATTATGTCTGCCATGTGAGAGTGAATGATACCTTCTCTGCCTTCTTCCTCTTCCCCAGTTCACCATATGATTTATGCAGGGGCTGTTGAGAAAGTTCTTGAAAAAGAACTTGAACTTTGTTCTTAATTGAGGTTAGACATAGCACACCATGTGTATAACAAGTTTGAAGGAGAGTCTGGTCAAATTCAGCAACTGGACTGAGAACCAGAGAGGAAAGTGGCAGATACAGCATAGTGGCTCTTACATGCACATGATTTAGCCTCTTGGTGGAAGGAAAAGGAGGGAAAGGCTGTGAGAATATAACCCAAAATCTCTGCCTGAACTGATATACTCTGATGTCTAAGCCACCCTATTAAAGACCTTTCCAAAAGAAAACATTGCTAGGACCTTTCAATGAAGTTTATACATGTATATAAAGAGAGGTTTATATCATACAGTTGTAGAGGTGGACACATTCCAAGTCCCTGATGTCAGGTTGAAGACTTCTCCTGATCATGTAGCTACAGGAGCTGATAAACCCAAGAGCAGCAAGTCAGATGGCAGGTTTCTGGCTGCAACAGCCAATGAATCCAAGGTTAGCAGGTAAGATGACAGACTGTGACGGCTCCCAGGATCAGCAGGCAATATGAATGTCGCTGACTAGAGTCCAAAGAACTGGAGGTTAAGATGAGGAGCCAGGTGCAGGGTCCAGACCCAGCAAAAAGCAAATCAGTTTTTCCACAGTGTCCACATATATTGGGAGCAGGCCACAACCCCTAGCAAACCCCCTGTCAGTCGATCTTCTGCTCATAGCAGATCGCATCATCGGGAATTACCTTGCTGTAAATGTCAAACCACTGAAAATCTTGGTCCACACAAGTTGACATAAAACCTTAACTATCACAGAAAAGAGAGGTAGAATTCAACCTTCTGTACCCACATGGTTGCATTTTGGACCATTGGCTAAGTCAGAGTTGAGTTCCTACACCCACTAGTCCCATCTCAGGCTAACAGTGACTAACACAGTAGCAGAACCAGAGGCTCACTGGAACATTGGTACTAAGCAGTGACCCAGCCTGGAACCCATGAGAGCATCATGAGAAATGACCTTGAAATCACCTGGTTTCTAGTTAAAATGAAGATGCTGATTCAGGAAATGTGGGTGGGGACTGAGAGTGTGAATAGCCTACAAACTCTCCATGCTGCTGGTCCTCAGATCACACTTTGAATAACAAGAAGCTGTTTTGACTTGTGAACACACACAGGACAGCCCCTGTGAGCTCCCAGAGATACTTTGAGGGGAAATTTTTTGTAAATGTATATCCTAAATAAGTGCAAGTAGAGCTTTTAAGTTGTCAAGATTTAGATGTATCCTAGGGTCATGGATTACTGACCTGAAATTAAGTTATATTTAAACTCCATTCTTGTTGTAGATAAATGCATTCGAGTCAGTTCCAATTCATAGTGACTCTGTATATGGTTTCCAAGTAGCAGCAGGTGGGTTTGAACTACCAATCTACCATTAGCAGGCCAATGCTTTTCCTACAGCTTTACTTATTAATGAATTTATGTGAGTAGAATTTATCTACTTCTTATAGCTTGCCTTGTTGTGGTTGTTGTTAGGTACCATTGAGTGGGTTACAATTCTTAGCCATTCTATGTACAACAGAATTAACTACTGCCCAGTCCCGTGTCATCCTCACATTTGTTGTTATTATTGAGCCCATTGCTGCTGCAACTCTGCCAATCTATCTTGGTGGAGCCTTTCCTTTTTTACACTGACCCTCCACTTTACCAACTGACCCTCCACTTTACCAAGCTTTTGTAAATGTCCTTTTCCAGGCATTGGTTCCTTCTGATAACATCTCCAAAGTACGAGAGACAAAGTCTAGCCATCCTAGCTTATAAGAAGCATTCTGGCTGTACTGTTTACAACACAGATTTGTTTGTTCTTTTGACAGTCCATGGTACATCTAATATTCTTCTCCAACACCATAACTCAAATGCATCAGTGATTTTCCATATATATT